CCACCAAATCCTGCAGGTTGATGCTGACACTGGAGTCAACACAGTCCGTATTCGTCAGCTAGAGTCTGCTCGTGAAAGGACTCAGAACCAGAATGCAGCTCTGCAGAGAGAGCTTATTGAAACTCAAACTGAAGTCATGGAACTTAGAGCACGTCAGGCAAGGTATGAAATGGGTTTGCTCGAGATGGAACGTCAGTTGGAAGGTCAAAAGGCTCAGCAGAACAGTTCCCGTCGCCAGTAGAGGATACTCTACTCGCTCTTTCTGTTGGGTTATGGAATAACCTTAGTATGTACTCCAGGTAGTACTTGCACGACTCCCAAAATTTTGTTATAGAATAGGATCTCGGCTAAAAGCCTTACTTTTCTCTAACTTTTGTAATCGGAGACCTTTAGAAAGGTCAAAAAATTTCTTGACTCCAAAATGTAACCCAATATATGTTTAATATATAGGGAAGTACTTCTTTTGTGTGTTAATTCCTTGCATACCACTCGAATTCATAAGTTTATCTATAAACTCTAATTATGAATCAAAATCGAGAACCTTGTTTAGGTCGAACCTAATTCATGAAATGTTGGAAATAGCTAAATCATTAACACATGACTTTCAATCATGTGAGACTTATTGTCTTCATTGTTATTTCTTCGGCAGCCAGATGCCTCCTCGTAGGTCAGCACGCCGAAATACGACACCAACACCGCCACCACCACCTCCAACTTACGATCCCGCTATGGTACAGGCTGCCATCACCGCAGCAGTAGCAGCTGCGCTATCCCAAATAAACTCTAATGGAGCAGGAGGGAGCGGGAGTAGTACCAACCATCAGAACCATGGCACTGGTCATGGTCATGTTAGGGAATGCACCTACAAAGAATTCTCAAACGCCAAGCCAAAAATGTTCAACGGCACTGGAGGAGTTATTGCTCTTATGCAATGGTTTGAAAAGACCGAGACGGTCTTTGAAATCTGTTCATGCCAAGAAACAAGCAAGGTCAAGTTTGCTGCTTGTACCTTCACAGACCGAGCCCTCACGTGGTGGAAGGGCCATGTGAAATCTGTGTCTCTTCCAGTCGTCAACGCCATGAGCTGGGAGGACTTGAAGGTCCTACTGTTGGAAGAATACTGCCCGAGGGGCGAAATTCAAAAACTGGAGCAGGAGCTATGGAACCTGAAAATGGTTGGTTCTGACCTAGCCGCCTATACGGCCAGGTTCAGTGATTTGTCAGCCCTTTGCCCGGGAATGGTCAACCCGGAGCCGAAGAAAGTGGAAAGATACATTTGGGGGTTGTCACCCCAGATTCAAGGACATGTCTTGGCCTCCAACCCAATAACATTCAACAGCGCAAAGCGCCTGGCACAACGTTTGATCGATCACGGGATCAAAAAGGATACTACCGCAGTTACTGCCGACCCACCAAAGGACATACAGGGCCAAAGGAAACCGTGGAACAAGAGAAAGGGGCAAGCCCTGCAAGATAACCTCAACAAACAACAGATAGTGACGGCTCACGTTGTTACTGTCCCTACCGCCCCCACACCAACAAAACCGTACTCCGGAAACCTGCCTAAGTGTAATAGTTGCAACTTCCATCACCACGGACCCTGCCGTGAAATGCATTGCACTAGGTGCAACAGGAAGGGACACACCATCCGCTTCTGCAAGGAACCAGCCGATCCAGCTGCGAATGTCGGAATAGACCGTACTTGTTATGAGTGCGGAGCAACGGGGGACTTCCGAAGGGACTGCCCGAAGGCAAACAATAGGAATGCTGGTGGAGGAGGCCGAGTATTCGCAATGGGCCAAGAGGAGGCCATTGCAGACCCCACGGTTATTCCGGGTACGTTTTTCCTTGATAACACATTAGCATGCATTTTATTTTATAGTGGAGCGAAGAGGAGTTTCGTGAGTCACAAATTTTAAAATCTATTCAAACAAGCACCCCAACCATTAAATGAAACATTCATAAGAGTAATAGCAAGGATAAACAAAAAGCACTGAAAACATACACATAGACTGCACCATCGCGCTAACGAACATTTTTCCCAATCGACTTAACACCTGTTACGATAAGAAGTTCCCAAATAGCAGCTAGAAATGGATTGGCTTGGTCTTCACCATGCCAATTGCATGTGCTATGAAAAGACCCTTCACTTTCACCGTTGGCTAACGAAACTCTATCGATTTATAAGGACAAACCCGAGACAACTCCCAAATCATTTCTAGTTTCAAAATCCCATAGCCCTCTTGTGAGGAGTACTATATCCTTTGCAACCTTCCCGAAGTGTTACCGACAGACTATTAGCACACGTACGACGAGTCAAGTTCAAACGCAGAGGCTAGGAATGATTACGGTTAACCTATCGCTGCAAATGGGTATGCAACTTGTATACACAAGGCGGTGATAAGCGGACCAGGTAAGAATTCAACCATGAACTTCAAAAAGAAACGACCTTACTTGAACAAAAATCTTAACTTTGTGGAGGAACCTGTCGAAATCATGGATAGGGAAATCAAACGAACTAAGCAGAGTCGCATACCAATCGTGAAGGTTCGCTGGAATGCTAAGCGGGGACCCGAATCCACGTGAGAGCGAGAAGATCAGATGCAACAAAAGTACCCGCATCCTTTCCCTAGTCCATAAACTTTTGCCTTGTAATTAATTTCGGGACGAAATTCCCTCTAACGGGGGGATGATGTAACAACCCAATATTTCGAATCAATATAACGATCCAAAGTCAAGTTTGGTAACCTATCTTAATATAATAGGAATAACGTCATAAATGAAATGTTCAAAAACCTCAATGTAAATGTACTAAGTGGTAGATATCGTATCAAGCTTTTCAAAAATATAAAGAACACAAAAATCCGAGTTATAACGAAGAAGTTATGACCAATCGAAAATCCGCAACAAAACCGGCAAGACACTGTTAAGCGTAAAATACGAAATTTCAATAAAATACTTTTCAGCCTGAGGTATCTAAATGAAAGTCGTAGATATCATTAAACCGAAAACGTACATAAAGAGAACGCCCAAATCGGACTTCGTATGAGGAAGTTATGATTTTTCGAAGTTTCAGACATAGCAGTAGACAGCTAAAAACTCGAATTAGAGATCGAGCGACTTTTTGCCATCATGACCTAAACGAGAATCGAAGATCTCAACAATAGTAACGCAACGGTAAAAAGTCTGACGAAAACGGACATCGGATGAAGAAGTTATGGATTTTTAACGGACTTTTCCTGTCCCGGCCTGTTAAAAATATAATATTAAAAATAAAGTGAAAATTTGCCGACGAATTCTAAATGAGAGTTGTAGAGCATAATCTCACCTACACATGCATATAAAGAACGTCGAAATCGGAGCTCGTACGCGAACGTTATGGATTTTACAAGTTCGGGACACAAAATTCGAGGCTGTCAGGCAGCTCACGATGTGAGTATGTGATTGATGGGTTCCAGAGTTGGTAGCAGACGTCGCGTCCTTGGAAGTGGATAAGATCAAAACTCACGACGTGAGCAAGCCCATGCTCACGACGTGAGACCCCAAATTCAGCCTATAAATAGAACCCAAGGGGTTCCGGGTTTAATGCTCAATTCCTCTCTTCCTCGTGCTTATGCTCTGCGTTTAACCCCTCGAAGCCATCCCAGTTTGCACATCCAAGTCTCGAAGTAAGTGTTACGCTCCCGAGATTCCCGAGATTCCTGAGATTCCCGAGAATCCCGAGAAATCAGCTTTCTCCAGTCGAAGTTATGCTCGATCTTTGTCTCACCTTCTTCAAGCTACCACTTCAACCAAGTGAGTTCATACCCCTATCACTAAGTTTTCAAATGCTTTTTAAATGCTTTTAAATGCTTTTAAGGGGGGATATACAAGTAAACACACGGTTAAACTCGTGTGAAACACAAATCTTTTGCTATATTTTTCATACTGTTGTTTTAACTATCTTATGAAATTATTATCATGCAAAACATCATACATCGCAACTTTACCCTCATAGGGTACAATATGTTTTATAAATAGAAATATGTTTTATTTATATATCTGCATACTACATCATACCAAGAGTAACCATTTCAACTATAACATCATGTTTATATAAGAAAAGGCAACTCATTATTATGCCTTTGTTAACACTGTAGAAAGGGTAATCATTTCAGAAATCATTCATATATCTTTCCAAATACGTGACTTAATTGAGAATATGTGAGTCAATCGTCTTCACCATACCTGTCAAGGTACCACTAGAAAGCCCTGTTTTATAACCAGAGTCTCTGTTGTGAGAACGTGATACGTGTGTATAGATCTATACGGGACTGATGATCCCGCGCCCTAACTGTTAGCTACAGTCCGCAGGGTGACAAATATCATATCGCTTCGACGCCTGAAGAACGTCGCCACAGGCAAACCCATCATAGTACGGTTATGAAAACTCACAGGATAGACAATTATTATGGTATTTATGTTTTTGCGGGAAAAGTAATATTACAATTATCTTTACGCGAAATTACAAACTTCTTATAGTTTTGTTTACTAATAAAACTATATATTCCCAGTTTAAGTATGGCATATTTACTTACACTCATGGTCTTGGTACATATAAGACTACACCTCACTTTTAGGAAAATATAGGATTTTCCTGGTTCAAATACATACAATTTATACAACAATCATTCATACTCATTTCATACACTCATAAGAAAATATCGGATTTTCTGGAAAACAAACACGAACTTTCGAATGGCATACAAATATATACTTATGAACTCACCAACTTAAATGTTGACACTTCTTCTTTGAAATAACTTGTATTCTCAGGAAATCGCTAAGCCAGGTAGCAACTACTTTTGAAGACTAACGCGCTGGCGTTAGTAACATATTTTGGAACCCCACAGTGTATTTGATATTTAAACATGTAACACTTACAATCATGTAAACTTTTCAAATATATATGTTATGGTGGTGTGTACTTTCTTTACTATTCAATTGTTATGATACTGAATATGACGTCCTCCGCCCCCGAACGTTACCGTCGTTCTGGTTTGGGGGTGTGACAGACGATGACATAAACCCCCGATGATAGCAGCAACGGTAGGGCGGAGAGAAGACGCCTACGTGCGCCCTTGACGACCACTGGAATAGCAACGGTGCTGGGAGGCCGTCGGCACACTCCGGCAGCAACGTCGTTAGCTGGGAAAGAAAGTCACACCTGCCCCGACGTCGGTCTTCTGCTTCCTCGGTTCACCAGCGGCGACTTGTGGTGGCATTGGACCGGAGATAGAGGCAACAACAAATTTGTGGAGGTGGCTTCGGTGGTTCACGGTCTCAACAGTGGCGGTGCGACGCCAGAAGTGGAGGAAGGAGGTGACGCCGGAGATGGGAGGTATAAGGTGGTAGAGAGTTGGTGACTGCAATGGGTCTCTAGGGTTAGGGTTTCATAACCTTTATATACCGGTTCCTTATACGAGTTTGCCATAATGACCAAAATGGTCCCTCCAGCTCCCATTTATTTCGAAATAGACCCTATATTTACCATATAAACCCTCAGCATTAAGTCCTTTACAATTCAGGTCCGGATTTTACTAAAACAGCCCCTCCTCTACAAATTCTTTTCAAAATAAAGTCCCAATAATTACCATTTAGTCCCTGCCTTCACAAATATTTACAAAACTAATCCGAAACTTACACTTTTAACCCCTGACTTCTAACATCCGATAATTATTACTTGCTTTTGGGCTATAATAATATAAAATAATAATAAGGTTCCGAGTTTATTATTTAATTACTCTATTTAAAACGGGATGTTATAACTCTCCCCCACTTAAATTTGATTTCGTCCTCGAAATCGTTTCTTATCGTCCCTTACACGCCAAACAACTCGAACTACATGGCTATAATCTCAAGCATAACTCTAGCCTTTCCAAGGCAATCGTAACCAACCCTTGTAGGGTTCTAAAACCTTGAAAATAAACGAATCCCTTACAATATGATCACATTTACTCAATCCGAACTCTGGAGTCTCGAGATGGTCTGGCTTCCTGTCAGACCTCCCACATTGGATCATTGTCGAGTTCATTGCACTTACCTCCCAACTAGGTACTCGACTGCTAATAACCTGGGGGTTTTCACCCGAAAGCGGAATCACAAATCCCACACTGCTACCTGTAACTCTCTTCTTGACAAGAGATTAGGTACTGCTTCAAGAGAAATTCACCTTGATAACCAATTTCTAGTTATATAATGAACAACAGGATGTACTGGGAGATGAACCCCTTTTTGGATCAACAAGACAATGCTTCCTTTAGTTCCCAAACCACATACCTATAATAACCGGTTCATAAGCACACACACTCATACCTGGTCCAATCAGCCTCGGGCTGGAATACCAGGCATGCCTACGACGGGTTCAGTCATCCCTAGGATGGAATACCCTCGTATCACACACATGTTTGGTCCAATCAACCCTCAGGTTGGAATACCAAACACGTCAGATCCACTCAATCGTAGGGTCCGGTCATCCTCATGATGGAATACCCTAGATTGGAATACCACTATATACATAACTCGGGTCTAACCCATAACTTGAAATCCAAGGACCTATCCTTCCATCTCATCCAAAAAATCCTATGATTCGCCACAACCAAGTAGCACTCCTCTGAAATACCAGGTTCCGGCCCGATCGCGGAGCTAAAGGTCTCCCACATAGTTGCCTCACACGACTTCCGAACGAAATCCTTCCCTGGAACTAGTTGCCACTAGTTATCATGCAACTGCGACTCTAACAATCACCTGATCCAACCGATCGGATCCATGCGTCGTATCCCGTCGTTACCAAATCCACGGCTAAAAGCAATTGCTACATGAACAATGGTAGCCTTACATCACAAGCAACCTTAAGCAATCCATTGCTTCCTTGATCTCATAACTGTAGTGACGTTCCTACAGTCTTACCACTGGTTTAATCAGGTCTAATCCCTCTGGGAAAACCCATAAACCCATCCGTGGATTTTCATATCCTCACTGCTACACCCGAACTGGTGGTTACTACTGTCCCTTCCACGTCCTAACAACCCACTCATGCTACCAACCAACCCAGTAAATGATGCGGCTACACCCACAGACTTGCATCACTCTAGCACTATCTGCTAACATGGTGAATGCTACGACGACACCCGCGGTCTTACAACAGTTATCACACTATCTGCCAACCTGGTGAATGCTACGGCTACACCCGCAGACTTACAACACTTCCCATACTACCTGATCGCTAGTGAATGCTACGGCTACCCCCTGCAGTCTTGCAACACTTTCCATATCGGTCGAACACGCACTCGACCTAACACACAACTAAACTTAATTTATGGCTAGAATCCCATCCTGATCCCCAAATTCTGCTATCAAGCACCGAGAAGACGCGATTCCCATGCTGGGGAGTCTTACCAAACTCCCAACTCACACAACACTCTAACCAAACAGCCACTAGGTTTGTCTTCCTTCCTGAAAACGATGCGAAACATATCCCAGTTTCAAAGCCGATCCTGCTTCTGCATTCTGGGACGATTCTCCCCCACTTAGATTCAACTAAGTCTTCACAATACATGAAAATTTAAGAATTCCCAATCCTTCTCACGTTCCAACGATCGATCTGATGACAACCAGACCTTTCCAACTAGTACTCCTTTACTAGCCAACCCCAAATGATCACACGTGTCTAATAACTAGATGAACACTTCTTGAATCCCAGTGAAACCGACAATCCCTAATGCTTGAATGATCCCACACTCAAATCTTGAAGTCCAAAAGACAGATACTCCAACTAATACCTCAGCAACGAGCTACTTCCTTTGGCCCTTTCATTCGCCAACCAATAACGGTTACTAAAACCACTTAATCCTGACAATGCTGAATAACCATCCTTGGGGACCCTGTCCGTAGACCTCCCACATGATACCCTTCTTCCTAAAATTTTCCAACAATTCTCCCGCTCTCGGCTCTAGAAATCATATCATTCAGGGTTCGCACCCTGACTCACTCACCAGCTCAATCGTCCATAGCTAAACTGCAGTAGCTAAAACAACCTCTGCCCTAGACCGAGCTACAAACTACCCCCAAGACATAGTCTTCAATCCCGAAAGTGTAATAGATCGCACAATCAATCCTTACCGTCCGATACAAGAGATCCAAGGCGAAATGGACCTCATAAATACTTATGCCCCCATCAACCCACCCGCACTTACCAACGCTAAACTACTGTTGCTAATCCCGACGACCAACTAACCCCGAGCTAGAATACAACCTGATCCTGGGGTCACAAGCCTGCTCAATCCTTCGAGCTCGTAAACTGAAAGGGCACATTCCTTGCCCTAGAAAACAACATTCCAATCCTATCAACTAACCATTCTAATTCCAGCTGTATAACTCCAGCTGAACATAATCATTACTCCTTTCCGGAGCCCCCGCGACTCACATTCCGGCCTCGAGCAAAACCCCCGAAGCCTCAAATCTAGAAACGCATTTGCTAGACTCTCCCGCCTAACCCGCAAAATGTAACAAGTACAGAACATCTCCCTGATCCGAGGTAACTACAGCCCTCTGCTCATCAGAATATATCCCAGTAACAAGTCCCGGTACTGAAAAGCTCGACCAGCTCTTCCCCTTACCGGCGTTACAGCTAATATAGCTGCCGCGGCAACCGTCTCGGCAATGGCTGCATAGCGCTCGTCGAAATACTCAACCATGGCGGTCTTAATAGACCGAAACATCCCCGGAAACTGTCCCCAGACAAACTCGATCACCTCCTCCCGAATGATCTCACTAACACGGTCCTCTGACAATGATGGCCTATCTTGGCTGCCAGCTCCCGATCCTAACCTGGATCCGATCTCAAGACGTCTCGTAACCATCATTCTGGTAAAACACCAGAAGGATCACTGATAAACCATATAGAGACAGGGAACCAACTCCTAACCCAACACTAGGGGTTGTGACTTCCTTGCTACGCGTATGGGTCCTGTGCTTTCAGTAGTATGGTCCCCTACTACCTTCCACACCTACCCATATTTGTCTTAAGTATCACCACAACATCCTAACACTATACATACACCTGGTGGTCGCTCAACCTCACTCCTAGAGGAAGGCTAACTGTCTCACAAATGACCTACCGGTCTCACACAACCCACCCATCCATGAAACTTCCACCAACCCTGAAGTACTAGTGTATTCTAGCCATACATAACACTGGACCCTATAGACTTTCGAATATCCAATCCTAACCTAAGCCCCCAATCAAACAAGAACAGAACATAAGGCCAAATCAAACATTCTCAGGCTATAAGATCTTAATTATGTATAACCGTGATGCATACACTAAGCAACTACAGTAATGATGTCAATCTCATATAAAGGAAACCCTAGGCTAGCAGGCATCATGTAATCAGGCAATTCTATCATGCAATTCCTGAAGATCCCTATCCTAGCACTAGCATGCTGTTCTAACATATCACATAATCAAATAATTGTATGGTATTTTGGGGTCAACTTACTGGCTCTGGCTGATCGTACACCCTGCATCCTCCTTTTACTTATTTTGAAAATCATTTTGAAAATTCTTTTCCTTGATTTGAGACTGGAGTCACACGAGTGTTCCTCTAATTCACTCAAACCAAGGCTTTGATACCAACTTGTAACACCCCAAAAAATTCAAGCCAGTTTAAAACTTTTTAGAACATTTAAAACCATTAAGTTATTACAGTTTGTTTTCAAAATAGTTTAAACATCAGAGTATCCCCAGAATCAATCATGAAAATGTAAGGAGCTGTACGATCACGCCTTTGCCTTGCCACAATCCCCTGATGTACCTGAAACAATAAACTGAAACTGTAAGCCCGAAAGCTTAGTGAGTTCCCCCAAAATACCCATACCCACAACAATACACATATAATCATAAACAGCATACTATGAGTCCAGTCAACCATCGGGTTGGAATACCCTAGGCCCTCAACCATCCGGTTGGAATGCCAACATACTATGGGTCCAATCATCCTCGGGATGGAATACCTCAGGCCCACAACCAACAGGTTGGAATGTCCACATACTATGAGTCCAGTCATCCTCGGGATGGAATACTCACGGCCCACAACCAACAGGTTGGAATGCCCAGGTCTATTGGCTTTCGCACAAAGCAGATAAGCCTCAACCGCCAAATAAACATGTGCACATATAACAAATAATCACATAACAGTCTATAGATAACACTTGATCTAACAGATCATACTACATAGCACATAACACCATCCTATCTACCAGGATGTCGATCTAACAGATCATACCACATATCATATAATATTATCCTACCCTCTAGGATATCGATCTAACAGATCATGCTATCATAACATAACCAGATAATAAT